AGAGCTTCAATTTGATGGGTGGAATACCCCATAACTCTAAGTATATTGGGATAAAACGCAGTTACATTTCACCCAAATTTTCAGTTAAACTTATAAACGTAACTTGTGATGACTTTCATCGACTTTTGTTCCACAACTCGCTTGACTTCAAAACATAGCACACGACTATCATACGACTAACCTAATTCAAAACATAACCTCCTTATCATGTTAAGCACCCTAGTCTCACCCAAAAAGTACATGTTATAACATTCCCAACTTGTCGACTTTCGACAAAACATTGTTTTCTTCAATTTTGCTAGCTTCTGAACCTTCCAACCCTATTTGTACTTGTTGTTAATAATCTTCAATATTTTTAACCTCCACATTAACATGATTAACTAACTTTGTAAACTTTTCAAAGATGTTCATTTTTGAGCTTACATGAATTGACTTACGACGTACTCGTACGTACGAAAATATGGGGTGTAACAGGCGATCCGTCTCATGTATTGGATATAAGCACGGTTCAGTTAGACGGTGATTTGACTTATAATGTGGAGGCAGAGGCTATTTTCGAGCAGCAGGTCCGAAAGTTGAGATCAAAGGATATAGCTTCAGTGAAAGTGCAATGGAGAGGTCGGCCTGTGGAGGAGGCTAACTGGGAGACTGAACGGGAGATGCGGAGCAAATATCCTCACCCATTTGAGACTTCAGATATGTTTCTTGACTCGTTCGAGAATGAACGTTTGTTTAAGAAGGGGAGGATGTAACGACCCGGCCGGTTGTTTCCCGAGTTACTGCTCTGTTTCCCCCATTTTTTCTTCTTTATGTGTTGTTCAGTTGTATTATGTTGTATTGGGTTGGTTAGTTCGGGTTCAGAGTGGTTTTGGAGTGGTATGAGACACTTAGTCTCTTTTGAATAAGCTTAAGTTGGAAATGTCAACCGGATGTTGACTTATGTGTAAAAGATCTCGGATATGAATTCTGATGGTTTGGATAGCTTCGTTAGGTGATTTGGGACTTAGGAGTGTGATCGAAATTTATTTTGGAGGTCCGTGGTAGAATTAGGCTTGAATTGGCGAAATTGAAATTTTGGCGTTTTCTGGTTGGTAGCGGAAATTTTGATATCGGGGTCGGAATGGAATTTTGGAAATTGGAGTAGGTCCGTTGTGTCATTTGTAACGTGTGTGCAAAATTTCAGGTCATTTGGGTGAGGTTTGATAGGCTTTTTGATTGTTTGCGGAATTTGGGAGTTTTGGAATCCTTAGGCTTTAATCTGAGGGTGTTTCGACGTTTTGATGTTGTTTTGAGTGTTCTGAAGGTTGGAATAAGTTTGAATAGTGTAATGTCACTTGATGGCATGTTTGGTTGAGGTTCTGAGGGCCTCAGGATGATTTCGGATGGTTATCGGAAGGATTTGGAATTTGGTGGAGCAGCTGAACTTTGCTGGTTCTGTCATTTCCGCACCTGCGGATTGGGGACCGCAGGCGCGAGCCTCGCAGAAGCGAGACTGGGCCACATATATGGAGAGTTGAGGAGCTGAAGAGAATTGCAGGTGCGTACAAGGACCGCACCTGCAAGACCACAGGAGCGGGAAGCTGACCGCAGAAGCGGAACCTCCAGGGTTAAATGAAAACCGCACCTGGGATGGTTTTTCCGCAGGTGCGGCGTCGCAGAAGGGACATTGAGATCGCAGATGCAGAAAACACTGGGCAGAAGGTACAAAATGGTCTTCTTCGCAAATTTTGCTAAGTTTGTCTATTTTTGAAGAGGGGAAGTGAGCTTGGGCAATGAGTCAAGATATGGCCGGAAAATACTGTGCATCAAATGCATGAAGGCTGCTGGGGCATTAGTCAGCCCAAATGACATAACAAGGAACTCGTAATGACCATACCGAGTCCTGAAGGCAGTCTTCGGGATATCTGGCTCCCAAATCTTCAACTGATGATAGCCTGAACGCAAGTCAATCTTAGAAAACGCACAAGCACCCTGTAACTGGTCAAACAGGTCATCAATACGAGGCAAAGGATAATGGTTCTTCACTGTAACCTTGTTCAACTGGCGATAATCAATACACATATGCATAGAACCATCCTTCTTCTTCACAAATATGACAGGAGCACCCCAAGGTGATACACTGGGCCGAATGAAACCCTTATCAAGCAATTCCTGCAACTGCTCCTTCAACTCCTTCAACTCAGGATGAGCCATACGGTACGGAGGAAAAGAAATGGGCTGAGTGCCCGACAACAGATCAATGCCAAAATCAATATCTCTATCGGGCGGCATGCCCGGAAGATCAGTTGGAAACACATCAGAGAAATCCCGTACTACTGGGACTGAATCAACAGAAGGAGTATCCATACTGACATCTCTCACATAAGCTAGATACGCATCACACCCTTTCTCAACCATACGCTGAGCCTTAAGGAAAGAAATAACTCTACTGGGAGTGTGACCTAAAGCACCCCTCCACTCAACACGCGGTACACCTGGCATAGCCAGCGTCACGGTTTTGGCTTGACAATCAAGAATAGCATAATGGGGCGACAACCAGTCCATGCCCAAGATAATATCAAAATCAACCATGCTGAGCAGTAATAAATCGGCTCTGGTTTCAAAACCACTAAGAGCAACCAAACACGACCGATAGACGCGGTCCACAACAAAAGAATCTCCAGCAGGAGTAGAAATATAAACGGGGGAACTCAAAGAATCCCGAGATACACCCAAATGCGGAGCAAATTAAGAAGACACATAAGAATAAGTGGATCCTGGATCGAATTGAACCGATGCATCTCTATGACAGACCAAGATAGTACCTGTGATGACAGAATCAGAGGCGACATCCTTAGTACGGGCAGGAAGAGCATAGTATCTGGCCTGGCCTCCCCCTCAAGGGCGACCTCTACCACCCCGACCTCCACCTCTAGCTGGCTAGGCCGATGGGGTAGCAACTGGTGCTGGGACCATAGCCTGAGAACTCTGCGGGGCATGCTGTGGCTGAGGAGTCTATGGAGGTGCACCCCTCCTAAGTCTGGGGCAATCCCTCACCATATGGCATGTGTCACCACACTCAAAACAAGCTCTGGGAGGACGTGGCAGCTATGACTGGCTCGGGCCAGGTCTGCTGGACTGACCACTGGAAGCACCCCGTGCAGGAGGCGCACTTGATACCGGAGGTGCATAATAAGGCTCCTGAGGCCTATGTTGAGCTGGAATACCACTGGCTACTGGAAGATCTGAATGAACGGGGGAACTCATATAACCCCTACCATGACGACCTGCAGCTGGGGCACGGGCACCGGAATAATGGCCCGACTCTCGAGACCTCTTGGCCTCCCTCTCCTCTCTATCCCTAGCATGCATACCCTCAATCCTCCTAGCAATGCTCACCACCTGCTGATAAGAAATATCCATCTCTAACTCACGAGCCATGTTAGACCTGATGCTGGGAATGAGCCCCTCAATAAACCGGCGAACATTCTCGCGAACCGTAGAGACCAAAGCTGGTGCATGTCTAGCCAAGTCGGTGTAACGGACAGCATACTCCGAGACAGTCATAGTACCCTGGCGCAAATGCTCAAACTCCGCGCGCCAAGCGTCCCTGAGACTCTAGGGGACATACTCCCTCGTGAACATATCTGAAAACAGAGCCCAAGTCAGGGAAGCTGCCTTATCCGGACTGTCTAACTCATAAGCACGCCACCACTGATAGGCGGCTCCTCGAAGCTGGAAGGTAGTGAAGGAAATCCCGCTCAATCCTAATATGCCCATAGTACGGAGGATACGGTAGCACTCCTCAAAAAATCCAAGGGCATCCTCTGAGGCTAGCCCGCTAAATGTCGGAGGCTGATACTTCTTGAACCTCAAGCCTCTTCTGCTCCTCCTCGGAAACTAATGCCCTCTCCTCGGGCTGAGCTGGGGCTGCCGGATGTACAGGAATAGCCTCTGGGACCCGATCAATATGCACTCGCTGCTCAGGAGTGCGGGCGTCGGGAGTCTGTGCTCCTCCCCCGGCCTGGGATGTAGCTGCAGCAAGGGGAAGCAACCCTGCCTGAGCTAGAGTGGTGTACATAGTCATAAACTACACCAGAATCTCCTAGAGTGCTGGAGTAGTAATAGCAGATGCATCAGGTGTCTGGACTGCGGCTGGTACTGCTGGTGATACCTCGGCGGCAGCTCGCACGGGTGCTCTGGCTGCACCACGAGCGCGTCCTCAGCCTCTACCCTGGCCTCGGCCTATGACGGCTCCAGTAGGGGGCGCGGGCGCCTGATCATCTCGAGTAGCACGTGTCCTCACCATCTGTGCGAGAACAGAAGACAAAAGTTTAGAATGGTGATATCAAAATCTCGCAGGAAAAGGAAATCAAATGAAGTGGAGCTTTCCTAACAGTTACATAGCCTCTCGTAGATATGTACAGACGTCTCCGTACCGATCAGCGAGACTCTAATAAACCGGCTTGTGATTCATGACTCCTATGAACCTGAGCTCTGATACCAACTTGTCACGACCCCGGTTCTCCCTCCGTGAACCATCGTGAAGGCACCTAGTCCCTACAACTAGGTAAGCCTAATAGTGCGGAAAATAAACCAATTTGCAGAAGAAAACAAGTAAAACCAAAAATAGTGAATAAAATAGTGTTTAATAGTGCCACTCGGCATACACCATATCAACTTTCAAATACTAATACCTTTCCCAAACCCAGAATCTCATGAAATCACAAGCTAAGAATAATACATAGTGCTCTAACTCCAGAATGTCTAAAACAAAGTAAATACAGAGGGGCTGTAACTACAAGAGAGAATGGAGAGAGACTCTTCGATCTGCGGACGCGGCAGATATACCTCGAAGTCTCGAAAAGAATCGCCTCGCCTCAAGGATGGTAAGTCTAAGTAGAGGTACCTCGATCTTCACATAAAAAACATGCGCAAGAAGGGTAGTGACGAGGAAGGTCGGGGCCCTACTGAGATTAAATAAAATATAAAGTCCGACAATGTAGAACAAAGCAGTATAAATGAGTACAGCAGTAAGAGTAACACAGGATATAAAAGATAACGACAATGGAACAGGAGCAAGCAATCATGGTAAACAAACACAGCTCAACTCAGAAGTAACAGTAGGGGGATCTCCTATGATATCGTCCTATTGTCCCCAAATATAAATAATCCAGTGGATCTCCCAGGTGCAGTCCCATAGTTCAACTCATAATTGCGCGGGGATCTATCGAAATACCACATCCGTATTCCCAAATATAAATACTCAATACTGGGGGAATCTACCGGGTGCATTCCCGTAGTTCTAATGTAAATATGCAGGGGGATCTCCCGGAATACTATTCCGTAGTCCCAAAGTAAACATACAGGGGAGCTCCCGGGATACCGTCCCGCAGTCCCATTGTAAATACACACCAGCAACAAGAAACTCAATTCAATCAATTTTACACCAAGGTAAAGCTGGTATTCCTAACTTAGCATGCTGCACATAATTCAAGTAGGGCAGTAGAACAAATAAGCAGTTAAATCAATTAGACATGCTTCCCTAAGCTAACAATAGGCTTAACTTGCAAGTAATGTAAACACGAGAGGAAAACACAATTCTAAGTACTTAATGGAAATTGGATTTTTCAACAATTAGCACAAGTACGCACTCGTTACCTTATATACAAGGCATTTCATTTAACAAATATACAAGTCCTACGGGGAAGGTCCACCACACAAGGTTAGGCAAGCCACTTACCTCGAACTAGCTCAAAATCAACCCGAAACCACGTTCTTGCCACGAGTATTCGACTCCAAATGGCCCAAATCTATTCAATTCAATTGCATAATGTAAATAATACTTCAAGTAACCAATTATACAAATAAATTCTAAGCTAATACGCAAAATTAGGTGAAATGACCAAAACGCTCCTCGGGCCCACGTCTCGTAATCGGGTAAAATTTATATTTTTGGATTCCTCATACTCTCACGAGTTCATTTATATCAAAATTATCCCCATCCGACATCAAAATCGTGATCCAAATTCAATTGTTAGGTCTAAGAACTTTTCAAATTTTTCTTCAATTTTTCCACCCCAAACTCGAATTTAAAGGATGAATTTAAGCATAGATTCGTGGAAGACAAACAAAAATGAGTAAGAATCACATACCCAAAGCACCCACGTGAAAATCCCTCTCAAAATCGCCTATCCCGAGCTCCCAAATCAATTTTTCCATGGTTTTGAACAAACCCTCGATTCTGCACCCTTTTCTGTCCAGTAAAACCGCATCTGTGGTCGAGGTAGCGCACCTGCGATCCCGCACCTGCGGAAAATACATCACAGGGGCAAAAAGTCACTGACCGGGCAGGGCCGCATCTGCGGTTTCATGGCCGCATCTGCGGCACCGCATTTGCGAAACCCAGCCGCATCTGCGGATCCTGGAGCCCTGAACCAAAAATGCTTATGCGGCCACATAGCCGCTTCTACGGCGCCGCACCTGTGGCCCCAAACTCGCAGGTGCGGTTATGATAGGAAACCAGCAGCTCAAGCTGCAACTCTAAACTCCAAAATCCTTCCGTCAACCATCTGAAATCATCCCGAGGCCCCCGGGATCTCAACCAAAAACACAAACAAGTCTAATACCACTTCCCAAACTTATACCAATCCTTAAAGCACCTAAAACAACATCGAAACACCAATTTAACATCGAATTCAAGCCTAAAAGCTTCAAAAACTCAAAATTTACGCTTTCGATCAAAAAGTCTATCAAAACCTCGTCCGAATGACCTGAAATTTTGCACGCACATCACATTCAACATTACGGAGCTACTCCAACTTCCAGAATTCCGTTCCGACCCTCCGATCAAAGTCTCACTATCGAACCGGAAACTTCAAAAATCCATCTTTCGGCATTTCAAGCCTAATTTTGCTACGGACGTCCAAAACACAATCCGATCACGCTCCTAAGACCCGAAATCACCCAACGGAGCTAACGGAACCATCGGAATCCCATTCTGAGGCCGTCTTCACACTATTCTAACTCCGGTCAAATTTTAACACTTAAGCTCCCATTTAGGGACTAAGTGTCCCAAAACTCTCCGAAACTCAAAACCGAACATCCCGGCAAATTCAAAATAGCATAAATAAATACGGGGGAAACAGTTAATAGGGGATCGGGGCGTAAATTCTAAAAACGACCGGCCGGGTCGTTACAATAATCTCATGTTTTAGTCGATTATTACATTCAAATTTGGTGCACTTCAGTTGAGTTTGAACTTTAATCGCTAGTGCTTTGCACTAATTGTGTATTTTATGCCTTGTAGGAAAGATTCCGAGCTATGTAGATGTTATGGAATGAATTCAAGTGATTTAGAGCTTTGAAGCCTGAGTAAAAGCCCAAGGAATTAAGTAGGGATCATGTTCGGGGATCAACAGATGATAGCTAAGAACGAACGAAGAATCGAGTAGGCATATTGTGTACTGTCTAGTAAAATAAACATAACATTTCGCTCAGAACTCCATTTGGACTCCACAATATATTTTTGGAAAGCTAATTCAAAGGTCTACAACTTCCATGATTTACATTTTTTCAAATTCTCAACAGAACAGGGTGAAAAGTGCGCGGAAAATGCGCAGAAAATGCGCGGCCGCGCATTGACCGCGCATATGGGGCAGAACAGTGTGAAAAGTGCGCGGCCAAGTGCGCGGCCATGCACGTACTATACGGGAAAAGTGTCATTTTTTGCATAAGAGAAGGTGTAATTGTTTGGGCCCGACCCTACTTGGTATATATACATGGAAAAAATTGTATTTTGAGGACTTTTGACATAATTTAAACCTAAGGAAGCTAAGGAGAAGAGGGAGAAGCAAGAGCACAAGGATTTCACCATTTATCTTCACTAAAGACAAGGATTTGGATGTTTTATGTTTTTCTTTGACTTAAACTTAATTGTGATAAATTTCTCCATATCCATGGAGTATTCTTCTTTAGGGTTTGATGGATTTGGTGTATTGATACTTGTTTGTGGATAATTAACTCTAGTTTTTTATGTATTAAATCATCTTGGATATTTTAATCGTTGCTTCTATATTCACTAGTTCATGTAACCGAGTGTTACATCCCGTACTTTTCTATAGAGGATTTGAGACACTACTTTTAATGACCACGACTATTAATATGAGACGGAGGGACTATAGTAACATGAATTAAAGACCTCTTATCGATTGAGACTTTCAAAAATAATTTGTGATGCCCCTAGATATTGTGGGCATGCACGCTAGCTGCATTGATCATGTATTCAACAGAGTTTAGCCAAGGCTTGTAGGCACATATAACCTTTGAAAATTCATCGTAATGGAATTCTTGTGTTGGTCATCAACGAGAAATTCTTAGTAACCACAAGTCATCAGCTCTGATTAACTACGTCCCTACACTTTATACATATTACTAAAAAGGAAAATAGGGAAGAGAATGGAGGACATTTGAACATTTGTAGGTTTGAGTATATCATCTTTGAGTAGAGCTATGCAAACCACTAAATTACCTCTTAACTTTTGTTTTCTCTTTATGACTAATAATTATATTTAATGGTATCACTAGGAATTTTAAGTGAATCTTTTATTATGCCAAATAATCCAACACCTGGTTCGTAAAAGATGTATATCATATGGTAATTAATAATCGTAAAGTACAAGCTAAGTAACTACATTGTTCATATCCTGTTGTTAGCAAAATAATAAAAATAGAAATTTATTACCTCCACGCCAGCTCTAAGCCATACACGTGATTTACTATATGCATGATTGCATCAATCCTTGATAAGTAATTGTGTAAACTGAAGCAAGAAGTATTTATAAAATACATAAAATTCAGTAAATATTGTAATAAAGTTGGTAAAACAACCTTGATACCGTTAGATACATTTTGATATGGTCTGTCTAATTCTGCAAATCTGTGGAAGGAAAGAGAAAAAAATGGACAAGGAGTGTTGCAGCTCCATTACTGTTTCTGAATTTAGTAATGTATTTTATTGTTTTAGGTTTTGCTAGTTGGTGTCTTAACAGGTACATTAATGGCCAAACTAATCATCCTAGGAAGTTCCCCTCTCTCCTCTTTACCCTTTAAAAATAGGGATCTTTATACAAATAATCAATCGGTTAATCGAACTTTATTTTTTAGTAGGTATACATAGATTATATACATTTTTTTGTCGGTATACATATATAAATTATACACGGAACACTTTTTTAGCCAGTATATATAGATTATACATATACAATTATACATATATTATGTATCAGATATTTTTAGGTTAAGCAGTTATATTTGTCGTAATTTTTATTGTAAGCAGTTATATATATTGGGTATTTTTAGTTTAAACAGTTGGATGAGCGACTGTTTAGGTTAATTCTTCTTTAAAATATTGGGTCAAGGTCAAGCTGTGTGCTATTATGAGAGGTTTATTTATTGTTTTTGTCCTAGTTATATGCGCTGATTTTTGTGTGAGTTCAACAAAACAAAATGTTACAATAAATGGAAGCTAAAAATGAAGGCAAATTACAAAGATACTGATGTAGAAACATGATTTTTCTTATGAAACGGTTTTGAAGATTTAGTTCTGAAGTGAGTTCTTTGTGGCTTGAAGTATTATTGAGTAGATATTGTAATAGAAATAGGATGATTCGTGAGACTGTTTGTGTTCTGTTGGCATCCTGTTGATGTAGTCGTCATATTACAGTGGTTAAGGCAGTGAAAGATACGGTGAGGTCGACCAAAAGTGATGATTTACTGTCACAAGTATGTTAAGACTATCCCTTCTTATTTTTTGGCATGATCTATATGATACGAATGAAACGAGCAAATGCACAGATTCCATAAATGACTCTAGTCATAGAAATACTAGGGGTGTCTATATTCTTGTTTCCCCCATATAAATTATTATTATATCTTTTGTTTATGGGTCTTAGAAAAATACGTATTTGATATAGTTTATCCGAAAGGTATGTTGATTTTTATGGCATTCCGAGAAGATTTTATTAACGTATTTCATATGCATTTCATGCATTTATACATGCACATTGACCCATGACCGGATGGCGTTATATATGCGTGTGTGTATATATA